CAATTAGACAAATCCTCTACAATTCTGGGCCCTAGAAACCTTCAGTGGTAGTACATAATCACCCCTCCTTGCATACAGTCTTCCTTACCCGGAATTGTGAGAGATGTATTCTAACACCTAAGGAATTGAGGAAGTGAAAATTCTACCCAACTGTTCCCCAGTCACAAAGCCAGCTGCAAAGATGGGCTTGCTAGCAGGTGGATGCCAAGTGTCACAACACTGAGATGTTCTGTTCTCTTAATTCAAAGATGGTCAGAAACTCTGAGGCTTGAAGTTCTTTCGGGAAGTAGGAAACCACCGCGCTCTTGTCTGGGGAATCTAAGTCCCTCTGACAGAGAGAAGTAGATTCAGTGTCCATCTAAGGGACAGGGCTGCAGATGCAGTGTTTCTGGACACACCTTTCCTCATGGAGTGTATGTTAACCCAGTGGGGATCGTGCCACCCCTGGCATCACCTGACCCTTTACTCTGCCCTGCTGTGAGGGTCTCTGAACTGCTTCATCTGCCTTTTTCCTTAACCCCACCCACCCCCAACCCTCGACAACTCTGCCTTTTCCTTTGCTGAGTGAAGACACCCCACAAGACAGTCCTCATTGTAGTGAGTCAATAAAACTTGACTCTGTTGGCACTATAGGTTTGCTGAGAGGGTGTGTGTGTGTGTGTGTGTGTGTGTGTGTGTGTGTGTGTGTGTGTGTGTGTGTACCTACTGGGGCTAAGTTAGCATCTCCTGTGAAAAGTTGAAATTATCTTCTGCCTATCTAGAATGGAAAGGGTGATGGTGTGACTAGCAATGATGGGCCATCTGAGGGAGAGTAGCTCTCTGTGTTTGGTGATGCAGATGGGGAGCCCTGGTAAGAAGGCCGCATTGCAGTCAGTGATTGAGTGCGCACAAGCTTTCCCTCCACCTCATTGTGACACTTTGCATTGGTCCACAGCCCAGTTCCAGTGTCTTCCTCTCTGTAAGACTTTATACAGCCCTGTCAGCGGGAACCAGAGTCTGCTGCTCCTGTGCTTCCCTCACAGAACACTACCCTTAGGCTTTGGGTTCAAACTCAACCCCCAGCCGTGAGTAAGGCAAGGGCCAAGTCTGACACGTAGACAGATCCACGAATGGTTGCTGAGTTGCTGTGAGGAAACTGCTCCTTTTCCTCCTCGAGCATCTTTTGGGGCTGGAGAGATGGCTCAGTTAAGAGCACCTGCTGTTCTTCCAGAGAACCTGGGTTTGAGTCCCAGCAGCTACATGGCAGCTCACAACCATCTATAACTCCAGTTCCAGGGGAATCTGACGCCCCCTTCTGACCTCCGACCAGGCATTCACATGTAGGCAAAACACTCCTACCCATAAAATAAATAAAAATCAAAACCCAAACAAACACCTCCTTCTGTTTTAACAGCCAGTATCTCCAGACATTCAGTGTGATGACCCGAAGCCAGCGGCTTCTGCCCTGGTCGTGAACTGCAAGATTGGCCACCCCATACTCAAGAGATCATCTGTGAGTCTGTTGGGATTAGATGGCTCTCCTCGCCCCCCTGGAGCTCGCAGCCTCACCTGCATCTTTCACCTGTGGTCCCCGTGCTTCCCTTTGCTCTGGTCACCATGTAGCAGTGTTCAGAACTGCTAAGCCTGCCCTGAAATGGGGAACAGTGGGGGTGTAGGGAATAGTTCCTGATGGCCAGTGCTGGCTCTCCGAGGAAAGCAGAGGGAAGTGGGGGTAGTATGGAAGGAATATCAGTCCAAATTATCTTCGTACCGTGCAGCAGCCCTGCTGTACTTCCCCTTACTCGTAGAAGGAGAGTAACGCCGTCTGTTTGGCTCACTCGGTATTTGCCTAGCGAAGCTTATATGAAATAGTGGCTGTGCTACAAAAAACAACAAAAAAACCATGAGAAATGTAAACTGGGTTAACTAGTGCTGCTTAGCCAGGGTTTTGGTCATTGTTCTATTGCCGTGAAGAGATCAGGTGACCAAGGCAACTCTTAGAAAAGAAAGCATTTAATTGGGAGCTTGCTTACCGTTTCAGAGGGTTAGTTCATTTTCATCAAGGCAGGAAGCAGACAGGTATGGTGCTGGAGAAGTAGCTGAGAGCTACCTCCTGATCCACAAGCAGACTGGCCTGGCGTGGGCGTTTGAAAACTCAACACACCCCACCCTCCATCCCTGACCAGGGACATACTTTCTCCAACAAAGACACCTTCTAATCCTTCCCATCCTGTCAGAGTTCCACTCTCTGCCGTTCAAATATTTGAGCATATGGGGGCCATTCTTATTCAAACCACCACAGCCAGTTTGAAACAGTCTGGGCTGTGACTAGTGAGCAGTTTTCAAGTGACTAGTTCCCCCACTCACTTGTTTTTTTAATTTCCTCCTTCAAAACAGGTAAATGTCTCAGTAATTTGGCAGCTAGAGGAGAGTACCTTTCCAAACAGGACAGCAGACATCACTGTGACCATCTCTAAGTAAGTAGTGACTGTGTTAGCAGACTTAGGATCTGGCCTTGGGGGGAAGTCTTGTCATGTTCAGGCCGAGTGCTCTGGCTCTCTCAGGGTTCTGGGAGAAAGGGGGTACCTCACTGAGCCCACGGAAGTTTCCTCTCATCAAAGATACTTAAGATATTTGCATTCACACAAAGGAACACTAGGGTATATTCTGGTGGAACCGGAGTCCTAGTTCTGACCTTCTCAACTCTGATAGAACTCTATCATGTTCTATCATGTTCAAAGGTAGGACAGGGTATGGTGCTAGGAAGGGGTCAAACAAGGTCAATCCTACTCCTGAGGCAATGTCTGAAATTTTTTTTTTTTTTTTTTTTTTGAGACAAGATTTCTCTGTGTAGCCCTGGCTGTCCTGGTACTTGCTCTGTAGACCAGGCTGTCCTCGAACTCAGAAATCTGCCTGCCTCTGCCTCCCGAGTGCTGGGATCAAAGGCGTGCGCCGCCATGCTCAGCATTCTAGAACTAATTTTGATTGCCATGAGTTAGGAGGTGATACTGTCTTCTATTGACAGATGCCAATAACCGTTATTCAGTGTGCAAGACAAGTCCATAACAGGGAATTCTTTGACCCAAAATGTCAAGTATGGAAGCTGAGAAATCCTACTAAAATCAACATTTCTCTAAGTGTGGCCTGCTAAGAGATTCATCTTTGAGATGTTTCTCAGGAAGTCAAGGTAACAAGCAGTTGTGTGGTCAATTAACACTTTTGTTCCCAGTTCCCATGAGAAGTCTTTGGCCAGAGAGACCCACAGCCTTCAGTTCAGGCATGCCTTCACTGCAGTTCTTCCCAGGTAAGGACCCCCAAGGGGTCTGTGTGATGGTCATGCACTCAGGACCGCTTTGGGGACTCTCTCTTGTGGACACAAGTGCCTATCAGGGTGGGTGTGGGCATTGCCCTTCTCTGAGAGGAGGCTGCTTAGTGCCCAGCCTCTCTAGGATACTGTCAGTCGCAAAGGGTAGCCTCCCACACACAAAAAGGGCAGGCTCACTGACTTGTCCAAAATGATTCCCCGCTCAACCTAGACTACAGGATTTCTGGTGGTTAGATAAAAGCTAGCATTCCTCAGGACTTGTGAAACTGGTTCTCATCTGCCAAAAGGAGTCATTTCCCTTACCTCTGGCAAAGGGATATCTGGCTCTCCAATTAACAAACACCTGTGGTGCCTGTCAGCCTATCAAGTCCGTGCTAGAGACAGCCTTGGCAGTTTGGAATGAACTTTTACTTTTCCACCCATGGAGCGGCGGCGGCAGTTTCGGTTTCCTTACTGCACTACTTGCATACATAATGTTGGGTTTTTGAAACACCATAGTGGTCATCAAAAGCACAGTGCCAACTGGTCCTGCTACAAAAGGATGATGCTAGGGAAAGGGGGTGACTGTGGGGCTGGAGAAGGGCTGGGGAGATGGCTCGGTGAGTCAAGTTCTCGCTGGGCAAGCATCAGGACCTGAGTTCAGATTCTCAGCACCCATGTAAAAGTCAGTGATGGGACGCTCATCTGGAATGTCAGTGCTGGGGTGGGTGGGGTGGGAGAGGCAGATCCTTCCAGCTTGCCAGCCGGCCAGTCTAGCTGAAACAGCAAGCTCCCAGGTTCCGTGAGACTGTCAAAAGCTCAAGTGGAGAGTACAGGGGACTTGGTGTTGACCTCTGGCCTGCACATGTGCACCCACAGGCAAGTGCACTGTCACACTCGTACTCACACACATACAAGTTAGAGAGAAGAAGGGAGGCCACTCGAGCAGAGTCCAGCTATAGAGCTTGCAAATATTGTTTTGTCCCAACTGCCTTACACGGACTAAACATTTTGACTTTCAGTTTTGAGTCCTCTTTTTTTTTTTTTTTTTTTAAGATTTATTTATTTATTTATTGTGTATACAATGTTCTGCCTGCATGTACGCCTGCAGGCCAGAACAGGGCTCCAGATCACATTATGGATGGTTGTGAGCCACCATGTGGTTGCTGGGAATTGAACACAGGACCTCTGGAAGAGCAGCCAGTGCTCTTAGCCACTGAGCCATCTCTCCAGCCCCAGTTTGCTATCTGTCTTAGTGTATCCAGTTGGAAACACGCAAGTTCACCCAGAACCAGGAAGGAGCCTCGAGTCCTCACGCATGTCCTTCCTCTCATTGCAGACCGTCAGTGATGTACATGAACACAAGCCAGAGCCCTTCTGACCACAAAGACTTCCTCTTCAATGTAAGTACATAGTGATTACCGTCAATCTAAGGCTGCTAACGCCACTAAGTTTTGACTTGCTGCTCATTTGATTTGGCAGGTGCATGGAGAAAATCTCTTTGGAGTTGTATTCCAGCTGCAAATTTGTGTCCCCATCAGATTACAAACTTTCCAGATTGTAAGAGTGAAGAATCTGACAAAGACTCAGGTATTTAAATGGGTTCCTTTTTTTTTTTTTTTTGCCTCCGAGACACGGTTTCTCTGTGTAGTCCTGGCTGTCTTAGAACTCACTCTGTAGACCAGGCTGGCCTCAAACTCACAGAGATCTGCTTGCCTCTGCCTCCTAGGTGTGAGATTAAAGGTGTGTGCCACCACTGCCTAGCTTTTGTTTTGTTTTGTTAGGATTCTTTTTTTTTTTCCCCCAGACAGGGTTTCTCCGTCTAGTTTTGGTGCCTGTCCTACATCTCGCTTTGTAGCTTTGTAGACCAGGCTGGCCTCGAACTCAGATCCGCCGGGCTCTGCCTCCCGAGTGCCGGGATTAAAGGCGTATGCCACCACCGCCCACATTTGTAGGATTCTTTATCATGATCACATGTCTCTCCAGAGACTACAGATTCTCAAAGGTGTAAAAACTAGAGCTTTAGCCAGGCCTGGTGGCACAGGCTTGTAATTGCAGCTGTCTGTGAGGATGAGGCAGGGAATTTCATAAGTTTAAGCCAGCTTGGCAATGGAACAAGTTCAAGACTAGCCTGAACAACTTAGTGAAATCATGTCACAAAATAAAGAGGGCTGGGGATGCAGCTCAGTGCAAAGCTGCCTGCTATCCTGCACCAGGCCCTGGATTCAAACCTCAGGGCTACAAAAAGTAAAACAGGGCTGGGGGATAACTCAGTAAAGCGTTTGCCTTGCAAGCACAGAGTCTGATCCCCAGAACCCATGCAAAAATGCTGGGTGTGGTGGTATATGCTTGTAATCTCCCTGCTAGGAAAGTGGAGGATCCCTGAGGCTCACTAACCCACAAACCTAGCTTAATCGGTGAACTCCAGGCCCATGAATGACTGTCACAAAGGTGGACGGCATTTCTGATGACACCTGAAGTTGTCCTCTGACTTCTATTTGTCCCTCTGCCTCTCAACCTGTAGCTGCACACAAACCAATGTACATTTAAAACTTTAAAACCAAAACAAACCCAAACAAACCAACACAAGTTTTGGGAGTAAACAACAAGACAACTTAATTATGGGAAAATATTAGGAGTAAGTCTGAAGGAAAATTAATCATTAAGATCTTAAAGCAATCTGTTTCCCCCTTTTATTTGATAAAAATAAGCAAAAAATTCAAACATCAGAGCCATAGAGACATTTATTTCCCTTTTGAAAATCCATAAATTCTGCTTCTGCTTCTGTGTGATTGGTGAATGAATTTGATAAACATTTCCCACACTTCCCCTATGCTGGTCTATACCCCTCCATCTTGGTTTTGACCCTCTAGTCTCTCTCTTTCTCTATCTCTCTCTTTTTTTTTTGGCTCTGTTCTGCTACTCCTTTTTGCATCCAGTAACTAACTCATCTGAGGTCTGGTTCCTGTCCCAGCCTTGACAACAGCATCAGGAGCAGGAAGGACCACAGCTGAGGCCTGGGCTTTCTGACTTCTTTTTGCTCATCCTACATAAGGTATCAAGGCTCAAAACTTGTCCTCTATGTAGTTTATTTTTAAGAACACTTGTTAAAAAAGCAAGTTTAATCATGTCGACAAACATTTTGGTTACCTTTTAAAAACAAGATTCTCTTTTAAAAAGCTGGGCATTTACCTCCATCCTGCTCTAGTGGCAGAGATTAAAAACAGTCCCAGAGGTGTTGAAGGTGTTCTCAATGAGGCTTTGGAAGTGCTCTCAACGTGAGCACTAAGAACCGGCTTACTTAAACAGACTGTGTTGGCAGAGCAGGTCAGTGGCAGAGCTGAAGCTTAGTACAGTTCTGTGGAAATGCTGCAGGCCTTTCTTTATTTGCTTCATGGCTGTGGTCTGACATTTAGTCTTAAAGCTCATATGATTCAGAATCTTGTCTGTGAGGTAATGTAGCCACAGCACATTATTGTAAGGGTGATACTCACCCCAGCAGTTTCTGTTCTCCTTCCTCATGAGCCTGTAGATCTCGAACTGGTAGTCACCTTCACCTGTAAATAGTTCCTCTTCAGTGGAAATATCACAGAAAACCACAATCCCATCCCGCTCCAAGCGGGACAGGGTGTAGTCGATGATGTTGACTTGTAGTCCGTGGGTGGGAATGGTGCTTGTCTTCCCATTGAGGGTGTAGTGGAGCTCTTTGAGGTTGGTTTTCTTTAAGAGCACATTCCCCCAGTGTAAGTCACGGTGCTCAAAGCGCAGCGATGCTTCTGCCACGGCGAGGGATGCGGTGATCTGGTGCAGAATGCTCTTTGCTGCAGCCACGGAGGACAGCTTTGTTTTCATTCGCTCTAAATCAGTCCCACCGAACTCGAATTCCAGTATAATAAAGAGCTGGTCTTCCTGGAAAAAGTCAGGCCGGTCATTTGCAGATTTTTTGGTTGAGTTATAATGATCCCAGGCTTTGAGCAGCAAGGGAGGGTAAGGCCCCTGAACACAGTGTACTGAGTTCAGCCCAATAAAGCCTTCTGTGCGGTTGTACACCTCACCAGACAAGAGGCTCAGCTCTTTGGAGATGATGATCTCTGGTAGGATCTCCTCAAACGTTTTTTGATGAGACCCATTGACTAAATCTGGTCCTTCAATAGCAATGATTTTTAGGGCTACAGGTGTTTGATCAGTAATTGTTTGAAACACTTCCCCAAACACCCCTTCCCCAATCTTCTCACAGTGTTCCAATTTTTCTGTGGAAAGGCAATCATTAAAGGGGATAGGTCCTTCCTGATTACACTCCCCATAAACCTTTTCAGCATAAGATGGCTTTCTGTCTGAGATCTCCAGGGCCTCTAAGGGGCTTAGCAAATACATAGAAGAGGAGTGACAGGAAGAAACAGTACCGCTTGCTCTGTTCATGATAAGAGAGGTTGAATATTCAGACAGGAGGGACCTAGAGGGAGAACTGGCAGTATATTTGCAGCATACCTCTGACACATTAGTTATAATTTTCTTCTTGTGGAAACTGAAGGAGGCTCTGGTTTTGGTCCAAGAACAGGCCTCATGGATATGATTCAAGTCCGGGGAGGGGACTGAATCTTCTCTTTTCTTCTTAGATCGGTGGTAGCGCAGGGCAGACGTTCCCGTTGCTTCTTGCTGTTTCCTCTTCCGGAGTGGTCCATTTCTCTTAGGCCTGCTGACTTGCTCTGGTACACGAAGGTCTTTGCAAGAACTGGCCTTTCCACCGTCCACCTGGTCGGCTCCTTGAGACACAACCTTTTGGCTTGTGGCCCTTCTCTTTCCCATGCTTGCCAGACCCGGGCCCGTTAGGCTGTTTCCCACCTGCTCTCCTCCTCTACACGATTCCTTCACATTCTCCCCATCGGTCCCAAACTCGTAATCTTCTGTGGTCCCTGAGTCCACAAGGCTAAAGAGAGATGACCTGAAGCCGGCTCCGGCTTGGCGACCCATCCCGGTGAACCCACCTTCATCTGTTGCTGCTTCCTGGGGGCAGGGCAGAGATGCTTCGTCCAGGGAGGCTGCCGGGAAGTGGCAGTCGTTGGGGACTGCAGAGGCTGTATCCGAGTCGGGGGCTCCGGGGGAGGTCGGAGAGCTGAACAGGGAGGCACTGGTGCCTAGGTCGTTGCTGTCCCTGGACTGGCTGCACACGCCGAGGTCCGGGCTTAGGCAGCCCAGGTTGCAGCTGGGGAACTGTGGCGGTCGCGGCCGGCCGCACGGGGTGCTGCACTTCTGCGGGGGCCGAGGCCGCAGCCTCTGGGTGGCTGTCAGGGTGCACTGGCGGGAGACGCGGCCCCGAGGTCGCCGGCGCCGTGGGCCTACTGGGCTGCCAAGGAAGTCGGGGTCATCAGGGTCGTCCGGGTCGTCGGAAGAGACAGACGGCGACTGGTCATTGCCGCTGAAGCTGCTGCTGAAGGCGCGCTTCGGATCCGGCGGCTGGAACCATGGCACGGCCGGCCGGCAAGGCTGCCGCTGCGACCTCCGGACGCCCCTCGCCGCGTACGTTCGGAAGAGCCGGGTCCCGGGCTGCGGGTGGGACGCGGCCATGGCGGGTGCCCGCCGATCGGTTCAAACCGAAACACCGCGAGACTTCCGCGAGCGCGCCCGCCGGCCGCTGGGTCCTAGCGCCGGCCCTCGGCGGCGCAGCACGCCGGACCTCCCAGAAGCCGCCAGGGGGCAGGTGCCTAGCGCGGACTTGGAGCGCTCAGGGCGGCTCAGGAAGGGATCTCGTTTCAGGCCCACACTGAGTGCACGCAGAGTCAAGAGCGCGCTTGTGGAAGCGATCCTGTTCAGGTGAGTGAGGTCGGCCTGGAGAGCTCGAGAAAGGGATGTGGGGAGCCCCTTAACAGGGTGACCGCAGAGGTCAGGTCGCAGCTTCTGCAAAGTTCTTTCTGAGACTCTCAGCCTCTCTGGTCCCCTTTGCCATGGTGATCGACACTTGGCTTGGGCGAAGGGGATTGCTCAAACCGCTCACAACTTCTGCTCTGGGACCTTAGATGCTTTATCCTAGATATTTAGATTTTCAGCCCTAATGCGCTAGAAGGGAGTAAGCAAACTCACTTTTTTGCTTTTGCAGTATGTAGAAGAATGGCATTCAGTGATCTGTACTATCACATCTAATAAAGAAAATGTAACTGTAGCTGCAGAGATCTCCGTGGGCCACACCAAGCAGGTACTCTAGACTGCAATGATGCAGATTTGGTCGTCCAACTCTAGGGTCTCTCCTCGAGAAAGAATAATAGCATCTGGAATGTGCCATTCAGAATAGATCGCTTGATTGACTTGCTGTCCCAACCTGCTCTTAGCAAGTACTTAATAGGTATCTTAATCCTGTTCCTCACTAAGATGTGGGAATTACCCGTGATTCCTCTTTTTTTTTTTTTTTTAGGTTTTTCGAGACAGGGTTTCTCTGTGCAGCTTTGCACCTTTCCTGGATCTCGCTCTCTAGACCAGGCTGGCCTCGAACTCACAAAGATCCGCCTGCCTCTGCCTCCCAAGTGCTGGGATTAAAGGCGTGCGCCACCACCGCCCGGCCCGTGATTCCTCTTTGCTACTCCCCACGTGGATCCTAGCAGCAAACCCTGCTATCCTACCTTCAGAATATATTTTAAATCTTGTCTCTCTGCCTCTACTGATGTGGTTGTAATTCAGGTCACCCTCTCTGTTGGGCCTGTTGCATAACCTTGAGCACACTCTCTTTGTCTTGGCTTTTCCCCTAACCTATACAAATAATTCTTTTTTTTTTTTTTTAAAGATTTATTTATTTATTATGTATAGTGTTCTGTCTGCACATACCCCTGAAGGCCAGAAGAGGGCACCAGATCTCATTACAGATGGCTGTAAGCAACCATGTGGTTGCTGGAAATTGAACCCAGGACCTTCGGAAGAGCAAGCAGTGCTCTTCACCTCTGAGCCATCTCTCCAGCCCCACAAATAATTCTTAAAGAGCTGGAGCGATAGATCAGCAGTTCAGAGCGTGTACTGTTCTTGCAGAAGATGTGGTTCGGTTCCTAGCACCCAAATTGGGCAACTCACAACAACCTGTAACTCCAGCTGTGGGGGGATCTGATGCCCTCTCCTCATCTCCATGGACACCTGCACTCACACACACACACATGCCCATATATGCACGTGAATTTTAAAAATGAAATAATTCTTCAGTTAGTATTAGACTGTGCTATCTTCCTTTAAAAACAAAAATCAGAAACTCCAAACAAACAGAAACAGTGCACTTTGGAGTTGGATACACTTAGGTTAAAATCCATACTGCTGCCGGGCGGTGGTGGTGCACGCCTTTAATCCCAGCACTCGGGAGGCAGAGGCAGGCGGATCTTTGTGAGTTCAAGGCCAGTCTGGTCTACAGGGCGAGATCCAGGACAGGCACCAAAACTAAACAGAGAAACCTTGTCTCGAAAACAACAAAAAAACAAAACAAAACAAAACAAAAAAACCAAAAAGAAGTTGGGAAATGACTACAGACTTGTTGCTTGGATAGCTGTGTGGCTGCTGGGACCGTTTACAGAGGCTAAAGGAACACTGGAGAAGGGATTGTATTTGAAGGGAAAGATGGTCGAAACTCTCCAGAAACAACAAGTCCATGTCTAAAACATGTTTTGTGTTCCTCCACACCCCACCTTTCTCCATCTTGTAGTTACTGAAAGATGTAACTGAACTGCAGATCCTTGGTGAAATATCTTTCGACAAATCTCTCTACGAGGGGCTGAACGCAGAGAACCACAGAACAAAGGTAACTCCTGGTTGTTTTCTGATTAGTGTTCTGGGAAAACTGTTGTCGCTTCTGACCTTGGCTACACGACCACCTGTCCTGGTGTCCTTGAGCTTCTGCCTCAGTGTCTCATCTGAGAAATAGCAATCAACAACAGTGTGTACTTAGTTAAAGATTAATTTATTTTGAAAATAGGAAATAGTTAAAACATTTCCTACGTGGGAAGTTATTTTTGTGTACCTATAATGTCTTCCTAGTATGCGATGGTAGTGTCTGTTACAGCACTGAGCAGGAGCATGCTCCCAGTGCCTAATTCTTTTATAGGAGTTAGACTGAGCACTAGAAGTGTTTTTGGAGTTAATTTTCAAAAATGTGGCCAAAGCCAAACTGATGTCTGGGTCTGAGCTAAATGTTCTTTTGCATGTTGCCCTACATCTTCATTTTTTTCTCTTTTTAAATTTTATATGTATGGGTATTTTGCCTGCCTGTATGTCTGTTCACCACATGTGTGTCTGATGCCATGGAGGACAGAGTGGGTGTTGGGGACTGGGGAGATGGCTCATTGGTTAAGAGTGTAGGCTGCTCTTGCTGAAGACCTAGGTTCAGTTCCCAGCACCTACATGGTGGCTCACATCCATCTATGATTCTAGTTCTAGGGAATCTAATGCCCTTTTCCACCCTCCTGTTCTGATGTCAGAGGCTCCAAGAGTGCACATGGTTCACAGACATATATGCAGTCAAAATGCTCATACACATGAATAAGTAAATGATGTTGCATACACCCTGTCCTTGGTCTAGTGTGTCTGATAAGTTCCTGGACCTGGTTTCCCTCATGTCATTTTAATATGCCCATGTTCCCCTACAGTCTCAAATCACCCCAATAAATTTATGTCACCCTTTCTACTTCTAGGAATAAGTGAGTCATTTATCATTCTGTACTTCATGGATAATGCCAGGTGGATAGTGCTGTTCACATGTCCACCCAGGTGTATAGTCCTCCATCTTCAAAACGGAGTCAAACACTGCTCATAAAATGGAGTCTCTCTTGGGGCAAGGCACAACCTGGAAAACTGTTTTATACAGACAGTGTAGAGCAACTCAGAGCAGGGCACAGCCTGATGTCAACACACCCAGCTTATTACACTTGCTCATTTTGTGTGTATAGGTATGTGTGTGAGCATATGCAAGGTATACATGGGACAACTTGCAGGAGTTGTCAGCCTTGAGGGCAGACAACACCTTCACCTGCTAAACCATCTTGCTGGCCTCTGAAGGATTGCTTATACAGAAAATGGTATTAAAGAAACATAAGCACCTTCTTATTAATCACACACTGCCTAGATTCTAAAAAAAATAGAAGTTTATTCGTAAAGTAATATCTCTAAGCTGGGTGGTGGTGGGCGTACACCTTCAATCCCAGCACTTGGGAGACTGAGGCAGGCAGATGGAGTTCGAGACCAACCTGGTCTACAGAGTGAGTTCTGGAAAAGTCAGGACTACACAGAGAAACCCTGTGTCTCAAAAATGAAAACTAACTAAATAAATAAAGTAATATAATTGAACTCCAACCCTCCCAGAAAGGCACCAACTGAAAACTGGTTCCCTCAACCCTCAGTGCGGGTGCAATCTTCTCTCAGTCACCAGCAAAGGAGGCAGTCTGTCCTGACCGGCTCTGACCACCGTGACTCCAGAATGGCAGCTGACAGGATGGCCACTGGACTGTCCGTGTTTCCCACAAGCAGGGGGGCACCCTATGTCCTGCTTCTCCCTTGCCCTCTGCTGGGATAACTTTGACTCACTTTGGGGAGAACCTGTGCATTTAAAATGGGGCAAAGGGGCTGGAGAGATGACTCAGAGGTTAAGAGCACTGCTTGCTCTTCCAAAGGTCCTGAGTTAAATTCCCAGCAACCACATGGTGGTTCACAAACATCTGTAATGAGATCTGGTGTCCTCTTCTGTGTATACATAATAAATAAATAAATCTTTAAAAATAAAATAAAATAAAATGGGGCAAAGGAAGAAGACCTTGAGAAATAGAGATGCTGTTTCCACTGCAGTCTGGGCTATTATGCCCCTGGCGTGGTGGGGCCTCCTTCATTCATCAGCCCAGGTTCCAGAGTCCTGTCCCCGCTCCCCTTGCCTTCCACTCTTGCATTATGATCACAGCTCTGTTGCTGTCCCACTCCGACTCTGTTGCCTTGTTTCCTTCCTACTTTCAAGGTCAGAACTTACTCCTGTGAAGTTCCGTTTACCTGTAGCTAAGTGTGGTCCAAAGGGCCCGTCCTGACCCAGTCACATTTATAACTTAGCTGGGAGAGGCCTCAAGGGTGAGTTGGGTAACTCCCTACCCTGTATGAAATCTCTCCAAAGCATGCCTGACCTTGGTGCCTAGGCACTGGCCTGAGGGGAACTCAGTGTCTTGCAACGGGGACTCAGGATGACCCTCTGGCTCCAACTGTGTCCTGGCAGCACACTCTGGCCACTACCCAGGAGGGCCAGGCCCCTGTTAGGAAGTGTATCCATAGAGCTTTTCAGCATGTCAGGGCGAGAGAAGACTCCTGAGCTGCTGAGATCCTTGGGAAAACACCTTATGGGGATGATTTCTTCCTTCCTTCCTTCCTTCCTTCCTTCCTTCCTTCCTTCCTTCCTTCCTTTCTTTCTTTGTTTCTTTGTTTTGTTTTTTTGTTTTGTTTTTTGTTTTTCAAGACAGAGTTTCTCTGTGTAGCTTTGGCGTTTTTCCTGGAACTCACTCTGTAGCCCAGGCTGGCCTCAAACTCACAGAGATCCACCTGCCTCTGCCTCCCAAGTGCTGGGATTAAAGGCATGCGCCACTACCGCCCAGCGTGGGATTGATTTCTAACAGAAGAGCGCTGCAGTGCCATGGGTGGACCCATTTTTGCCCTTACAGCATCCCCGAGGGCTGCACTCAGCCTGGTGAAGAACAGGGCAACCCCTGCCAGACATTTCTCGTAGGAAAATGTATTGCCAAAGACTTTAGGCATTTGTGCGAGATTTAAAAACATCCATCAGACTTGAGTTGAAAAGGACTTGGAGATCTTTA